GGCACCCCCCGGCTGGCTGGCACCCTGGAGGTCGGAGCTGTCGGACGGCCGGGCGCACCCAGGACAGGTCTAGACAGCTGAACGGGACAGCAAGGCCCAGCTAGGGGTGGCGGTGCCGTGGCCGACTCACGTGGTCCATCATCTGCTGGAGGCCCTGGCTGAAGGGGCGCCGACCGATGCCCGTGACGCCCTCCTGAGCCTCGGGGAAGGAGATGGGCCCGATGCCAGGGGCCATCCCGAACTGCTTCACCATGGAGTAGGCGATGCGGGTGACCTTCCTCAGGTCGTCCTGGGCTCCTGGGGTAGGGCCAAGAGGGCAGGGCACTCTGAGGGCTGTGCTGACACCGGGGCGCCAGGGACGTCTCCATCCACAAGAGCTTCCCGTGAGGCAAGCAGCAGTGTCAGGGCACGTTACTGGCCCCGGACAGTCTTCAACTTCAGGAGATGCTCTTCCGGTTAACAGAGGACGTGTGGGGCCGGCGGCACGACGGCTAAGGTGCTAGAGCTCCGAGGCTGACCACGTGGTCCACGTCCCCAACCCGGCAGCTTGAAAACAAAGTGCCCTTTCGGAAGTGCCCTGGTCCCCCTGCCCAGATCTCCCCACTGTCCTGGTCTGCGGAGGCACACCTGCCCCTCTGCACCCCGTGGGCACCTCTCACCCCTCCAGACCCCACAGCGAGGTGCCGTGTGACAGTCGAACTCTCCTTGGCCAGCAGGTGGCGCAGTGGTTAAGGCGCTGGACTCCCAGATGGCACAACCCACTCTGAGTCCCAGACCGCGTGAAAATCATGCCTTGTGTGTGTGCGTGTGTGTGTGCCCCAGAGCCCAGGAGAATGGAGGAGGAGCTGTGAGTGGTTATCTCCTCCTGGGGTGACATCTCACTTTCTCTCACCGTCTCTCTCCACGGTAAGTGCATATGCCCTACGGCAGAAACTTAAAAACATGCACACACCAGAATTCTGACTTCCCAATCTCCTTGGACACAGCTCTTCTCTTTTCCATTTTAGTTTTCTTGCTGATGCTCCAGAGCACATGTGCTCGCTGGAGAGAGACAGAGCGAGGGACAGAGCAAGCTGAGAAATGACCCCAAGCGCCCGGGACGGTCGTGCCGTAACCCCTTAGCCTGCACTCTCCTGCCAGGCCTTCAGGCACACACACAAACCTGCCTGGCATGTTGACTCAAACGGCAGTCAGCTATGTGGGACCCAGCTGCCTCAACTTCCAGGCCACCTCCCAGCTACGGCCACAGCTCTCTTTTTTAAAAAAGATTTATTTAGTTGATTTTGTTGTTGTTATTCATTTTCTTAATGTGCCCAGAGAGAGCCAGGGAGAGAGGGAACAGGGAACTGAGAGAGCCGGGTCAGCCGTGTGGGAGTCCTGCACCCTAACACCAGGCCGCCCGTGGCCCTGACCACAGCTCTTTAGAAACACTTAATGAGGGCCCGCAGGTGGCGTAGTGGTTATGGGCACTGGATATTTTTATATGTATGTATATATATAGAAATACATATTTAAAAAAAATATATAAATATATATATATATAAAATAAATGAATGTTACATAAAATAATTCCTTTTTTTGGGGAGAAGTTTTCGCATAAAATAATTCTTAAAAATAAAATTTAACGGGGGACCAGCAGTTGGCGTAATGGCTATGTCACTGGACTCTCATGTAGTCAACCGCAGTTCGAGTCCTGGACCCAGTGGCTTAAACTCATGCTGGGCATGTGTGTGTGTATGCCCAAGATCCCAAGAGGAGAATGGAGAAGAGATTGCAGCGTGGCCATCCCCCCTGGGGGGGTGATTTCTCGCTTTCTGTCTGTCTCTGTCTGTCCGGCGAGTGCACACATCCTATAGCAAAAACCTCTCAAAAAAAAACAAAAACAAAAAACAAAATACCACCTTAATGGAAAAAAAGAAAAAGCAAACCCTTAATGAAATTAGAAACTGCATTTGCATCACCAGTGAGATCCTTCCACCCTCACCCCACTGCATAAGCAGAGCAGGGCACAGGGAGCGAAAGCCCTGGGGCACAGGCCCTGTGTGGAGGCTCCTCACCAGAAGTGACCTTGTTGAAGGAGATGGCCTCTGAGGCGCGGCCCCCCAGCGCCATGCACATCCGCTCGAACAGCTGCTCCCGCGTGAAGAGGTGCTGGTCTCTGGGGAGCATCTGGGCGAAGCCCAGCGCGGCGTTAGTCCGAGGAGCAATGGACACCTGCAGGAGGTCGAGATGGCCTGGTGAGCTGCGGGCGCGGCGGGACGCCCGGTGAGGGCCTGCTCACGCCGTGCTCTTTACTGGGGCCAGCAGGGGGCGCAGCAGGTGGGCGAGGCCCAGACCCGGAGGCCTGGAACTCAAGGGGGTGTTGTGCCTGTGTGCCCAAATCGTGAGAGGAGAATGGAGAAGGGACTGCAGCACGGCTGCTGCCCAGGGAGGTGATTTCTCACTCCCTGTCCCGCTCTGTCTCTGGTGAGCACACGCACGCTACAGCAAAATCTCTCCAAGTGAACAAAGGGGCCGGCAGGTGCTGTGGTCGTTAAGTCACTGGGCTCCCGCAGGGCTGACCCTGATTTGAGTCCTGGACCTGGCGGCTTGCTCTTTCGCTCTCTCGCTCTGCCCCTCTCTGGTCAAATTAAAAGTAAATAAAGTTAAATAAAACAACTCTTAAAAAAAAAGATGTCCACAGCACAATGGGCCAGACAATGGTGTGGTGTGAAGGTGTTGGATTCTACATGGCCAATTCCGTGGTTCAAGTCCCAGTCCAGAGGCTGGAAACACATGGCCAGGGTGTGTGTGTGTGTGTGTGACCCAAATTTAGAGAGGAAAATGGAAAAGGGATGGCAGCATGGCCATCTCTAGGGGGTGAGCTCTCATTTTCTGTCTCTCTGGTGAGCGTATGCGCCCCCCACAGCAAAATTCTCTCGTAAAACAAGCACACCGGCTGTGACAGCGGCAGCGCCCAGGGGCAGAGGCCACCGCAGCCACAGTAGGGCCGTGACCATCTCCCGCGTGCTGAGCCTTGGGAGGGAGGTTTTCTTTGCCACTGCTTTATCTGGCTCTGAATCATCAAAATTCTGAAAGAAACAGAAATGTTAAGGTTCTGATGTTTTGTCCATCATGGCTTTTTCTGTACTAACTTCAGCAGCTGTTTGAGAGCGTGTATTAAAAACACCAGCAGTGGGCCTGCAGGTGGCATGGTGGTTAAGGTGCTAGACTCCCACAGGGCTGACTGGTTCAAGTCCCAGACCTGGTGGCTTGCTTTCTTACTTTCCCTCTCTCTCCGGTGAATTAAAAAATAAATAATTCTCAAAACAACAAGCCATCAGTGCTGAGGTCTCGGTGTCCCCAAATGTGACAGCTGAGGCAGTGGGGACCTGGCCTGCCTTAGTATGCACAGCCCTCCAGGACTGTCCCCAGGGCGGCCTCCGGGCAGGGCCTCAGCAGGGCCCAGTTAACGGCCGGTGGCCACGTGGGCCCTCTCACACACAAGACTGCGGACGGCCCGGCCTCGGGCACACTGTGAGCGGCTGCCGTGGGAAAGCGGGTGCAGGGCAGCAGCCTTCGGGCGGCCTGTGCAGGGCTCCCCATCTCTGGGAGGCACAGATGTAGCCCACACCCTCGACTCTGCTTGCTGGGCACCCACGTCCCAGATGACACATCCTCTTTGACTCTCGGGCCTCCTGGTCACAGGTCCCCAGTTGTTTGTTTGTTTAGAGGTGTGCGCTTTAGGGCGTGTGCACTTGCTGGAGACAGACAATGAGAGGGAAAGGGAGGAATCACCCCAGGGAGGATGGCCACGCTGCATCCCCTTCTCCATTCTCATCCAGGAATCTTGGGCACACTCACACACGTGCCTGATTGTGTTTCAAGCTGCCAAGTCTGGGACTTGAACCGTACTCAACCATGTGGGAGTCCAGCAACGTAACCACGATGCCATCTGCTGGCCTGGCTCCCTGCACTTTTAAAGAGAAACTTATCTTGAGCCACCCGGGTGGCACGGTGGCTCCGGGAGGTGGGCCACACACATCCAGCTGCGGCTGAGCCCCAGACCAGTGGCCCGAAAAACAAGCTGGGGGGTGACCAGCGGATGGTGCAATGGTTACGTCACTGGACTCCCACATCGCTGAGCGTGGTTCGAGTCTTGGACCTGGCAGCTTAAGACTCATGCTGAGCTGGGGACAGCAGGTGGCACGGTGGTTAAGGTGGTAGATACTCCCACATAGCCGACCATGGTTCGAGTCTTGGACCTGGCAGCTTGCTTTCTCTCTCTGGTCAAATTAAAATGAATGAATGAATGAATAAAATAAAATAAATAATTATTAAAAAAACCCCAAAAACAACTCTCATGCCGGGCACATGTGCATATATGTCCAAAATGCCAAGAGGAGAATGGAGAAGGGATTGTGGCATAGTCATCCCCCCGGGAGGTGATTTCTCGCTTTCTGTCTCTGTCTCTCTCTCGCTCTGGTGAGCGCAAATGCCCTATAGCAAAAACCTCTCTTAATAAAAGAAAAGGAAGAAAAGGAAGCCGGGTGCCCACTCAGGCGTGCCTGAGACCCTGAGAGGGGACTGTGGCACAGCCATCTCCCCAGGAGCTGCCCCACTTTCTCCTCTCTGTCTCTGGCAAGTGCATGAGCCCTAGAGCAGTGTTCTTTTTTTTTTTTTTTTTTGAGAGATCTTCACTGTAGGGCGCGTGCGCTCGCCAGACAGACAGAGAGAGACATAGAGACAGAAAGCGAGAAATCACCCCCCAGGGGGGATGGTCACGCCGCAATCCCTTCTCCATTCTCCTCTCGGGATCTTGGGCACGCACGCACACGCGCCCGGTGTGAGTTTTAAGCCACCGGGTCCGGGACACGAACCGCGGTCGACTACGTGGGAGTCCAGCGACAGCCATTATGCTAACTGCTGGTTCCCTAGAGCAGTGTTCTTAAAGTCTGTTTCTTCCACAAGTGAGAGTGGGAGACACAGACAGACAAGATGCTCACAGGCAGTCGGCCCCCAGTCCCAGGTCAGGAGCACGCACATGCCTGACATGTGCGGTGAGGTCCCCGACAGAGCCTGGACCCGTCCCCCACGGTCGGCCTCGCAGAGCGTTGCGCTGACCACTGCGCCACTGTCTGGCCAGTCCCCACGCTTTTCAGAAGCTGTTCGTAACATTACCATTCAGTGGGAGTAAGTTCTCAGCGAGTTTGCAGCTGTCTAGAGAGTGGTGTTTCGGCCCGGACAGTGGTGTGATGGTTAGGGCAGATGAGTCCACATGGCGGACCTCAGGGCTCGGGTCGTGAAACCTGAAAATCACACGTGTGTGCGTGCCCAAAACACCGAAGCAGGGAAAAATGGAAAAAAGAGTAGAGTCTGGGCCAGCTGAGGGAGCCTGAGAACAGAGCGCGCACGCACGATCCCAAGAGGAGGGAGAGAAGGGGCTGAGGCAGCCTGAGAACAGAGCTCACGCGCACGCACGCGCACGATCCTAAGAGGAGGGAGAGAAGGGGCTGAGGCAGCCTGAGAACAGAGCTCACGCGCACGCACGCGCACGATCCTAAGAGGAGGGAGAGAAGGGGCTGTGGCATGGCCATTCCCCACAGGGAAGTGCTCTCTCGCTCGCTCTCTGCCTCTGTCCATGTAGAGCACCTCCCCTCCGGCGAATCCAAAGTCCTTCATTAATAAGATAAAAATGTTTACTTGGGTAGCCAGCCCATGGCCTGGTACTTAAGGGAGATGGACTCCACACGGTCAGCACAGCAGTTCGAGTCCCAGACTCAACAGCCTGAAGTACACACCAGATACATGTGTGTTCGCCCCTAACCCCAAACAAAGAAAAACGGACAAGGAAGGACAGCGTGACAATGCCCAGCAGGGGAACCTCACTCTCTCCATCTGTCTCTGGCAAGTAAACACATCCTCCGAAAAGACTGAAAACAAACAAAAAGTACACTCAGGGTTACACTGAAGCAGAGTGGTCAGGCCGGGTGTGGGGGTGGGAGCTCGACTGACTTGGCCGAACCCCAGCCCTGGGAGCCAGTGCGCGCATGTACGCCGAAGTGCTGACAGGCGGGGCTGGGGAAGGGGCTGTGGGGGCTGTGGTATAACCACAGCCCATGGGGGTGCTTTTTCCTCTGGCAAGCACATACTCCCTCTGGAAAAAACAACAAAAAACGAAACAGAAACAACACCGTCTGGCAAAAAAAACCCCCAAACAGAACACCATTCACTTGCCCAGCTGCCAGGGCAGTGGCAGCACGAGTGGCCTGCAAGGCTGGAGGCCATGGCTGACCACAGGTGCAGACTCGGTGAGCCTGGAAAAAATGCGGACACACACGTGTGCGGAGCCCTGGAGGGCAGGAGAGGGAGCGTCACGAGACCCGAGGTGCTCCTCTCCCCCGATCCACACACCTCCCACAGTGAAGGAAGTCGGGATATCTGCCCAATCTGTGTCCCTTCGAGGCTACAAGCCATTCGGAGCTGCGTGGTGAACGTGCACGGCTGAGAGGGGGTGAGGACGCGAGCCCGGGCCACGTGAGCATCGTGAGAGCCGCCCGGGCACTGGCCCCACTCCCACAGGCCTACCTTCATCACAGCCTCGGTGTGCTCCAGCAACCACCCCACCAAGGCGTGGCCTGACTCATGGAACGCCAGCACCCTCTGCTCCTCCTTGGAGAGGGTCTTGCTCTTCTTTGCAGTCCCTGCAAGACCCAGACTCAGGCTCAGGGCCACGGCGTGCTGGGTCCTGGGCCCGGCCCGTAGGGTGGGAGGCAGGTCCTCTCCGGAGTGCCCACCTCCTGCAGCCACACCCAAGCTATCACTCTAGACCCCAATTCAAAGGGAACCTAGACTGGAGGGAGTTAGAGGAGGGCTACCCAACCCTGGGACGGGGAGCAGGACGCCGGCTTCCCCTTCACCACCAGCTGGGAGGGCTCTGCCCCTCAGGCGAGCAGCAGCCCTCTCCACCCCTCACCCACGGCTCGTTCTCCCCTCAGGGCCCCACCTTCACTCCAATCGCCCACTCAGATGTCCGGCAAGGTCTCCTTCAATGTCTCCAATTCTCTAGACTCCTCTAAGTCCCATTCTTAGCAACGGAATGGACCCTGGGTTGAGGGTATGCAGAATGCGTGCCCCTAGACTCTTCTATGTTTACTGCCCAGCCAGCAAGTCTAGACGCGCAGCTGTGCAGATGGAGCCCAGAGCCCAGAGTCCAGGACTGACAGCGAGGGCACCACCGGGACGCGAGCCTTCAAGACAGCTTCCCTGGACCCAGCTGTGTTTGCGACAAGACCTGCCCAGGCGGCCTGCACTGGAGTGAGGACGGGGCGTGCTCTCCATGTCCCCCCGGACTGGGAGACAGCCCCCACTCAGCCCGCCCTGCTTGATGCCATCCGAGCACGAACTCACTCACACAAAAAGCAGTGGTTCGTAAACACCGAGTTTCCGTGTAGCGGGAGGCAATGCCGGTCCCTCCGGTCAGCGACCACTGAGAGGGGTCAGGCTCTGAACCCACACTCACAGCCGTCCACCCACATGCCTCCCTCAGGCCCTGCTGCTCTGGGGTCTCGCTCTGGGAACCTCGATGGCATCTGCCCTTAGTATCAATCAAACCCAGGGTGACGGGAATTTGCTGCTTGTAGGAGCAGCCAGCGAGGGAGCCCCTGCTCCCCAAACACCTATGGGAGGCCAGCTATGGGAAGCAGCTCCTGGTCCACTCTCAGACTGACCCTCTCGGTCTGAGCCTCTCTGAGAAGGAGCTATGCAGCTCACATCTGTTTGCTGCCACACGAGTGTACGGAGGTTTCTGGACCTCCCTCTGGGTGTCTTCACAGACTGCCAGAGAGCCCGCTCTGGGCAGGTGGCCTTGCCAGAGCCAGCGGGGCCCTCGTAGCCCATGGCCAGACACGCCTCTCCAGGGTGACCAGGGCGGCGAGCTTCCCGGCAGAGATGAAGGTCACATGGCAGGGTCACTCTGCACTCTCTGCGGGCACAGACGACCTCCAGCCCCGGGTGGCGGCAGCCCCTGCCTAGCTAGCCATCGGCACTCAGCCATGGCAGCTCCGAACGGCGTGTGGCACCTGCTGGCAGAATGCGCCTGCCCCTCGGAGTCTGTGGCACTTCCCAGTGAGCAACACAGGCCTTACTGCGAAGACCTGGCTTAGAAAACCTAGAACCTCAGGGCCGGCAGGTGGCGTGGTGGTTAAAGGTGCTGGACTCCCACATGGCCAACCACAGTTGAAGTTCTGGACCTTGAGGCTTGCTTTCTCACTTTCTCTATCTCTCTTTGATCAAATTGGAAACTAATACTAATAATAAAGTTAAATAATTCTTTAAAAAAGAAAAGAATGGGACCAGCAGGTGGCGTAATGGCTACGTTGCTGGACTCCCACGTAGTTGACCACGGTCTGAGTCCCGGACCCAGTGGCTTAAACTCACGCCGGGCGCGTGTGCGTGCATGCCCAAAATCCCGAGAGGAGAATGGAGGGGGAATTTTGGTGTGGCCATCCCCCCTCGGGGGTGATTTCTCACTTTCTGTCTTTCTTGTTTTGCCCTATAGCAAAAACCTCTCAAAAAAAAAAAAAAAAAGAAAGAAAGAGAGGAGAGGAGAAGAGAAAGCCTGGAGTACCCCGCCCTCACCAAACCAGCCAAAGTCCAAGCCTGCCCTGGCCCCACCACCGATCTTCTCCGGCAGTGCTGGCCTCTGTCTGGGTGTTTCTGGGTCCACACCCACAGGCCATAGCAGAAGTCACAACCCACGTACCGGCTATGACACGCTCCACCGCATACTCGAAGCTGGACGTGTGGACAGACGTGTGGCCCTCCCGGGCAGCGTGCAGTGCTGCCTCGTTGCAGACGTTGGCAATGTCGGCGCCTGTCGACACAGAGGGGGTGCTGGCGAGGCTGGGGCGCAGCTGCTCTTCCCCATCAGAGTGTGAAAAGGGGGGAGAGGGAAACGGAGCAGCCATGGGGAGGACGGATGGTGCAGGGCGGGCGGGCAGCCGTGTGCACGGTGGCGACTGGCGCCAGCTCACCCGTAGCCCGACTCTCGCTCCCCGACACGGCGACGGGCTCCTCTACACGTCACCTCCTGCACCGTGCACGGGCTTCACAGATGAGGAGTAAAGCCTCTGTGCCCACAAGATCAAGTTAAAGAGGAAGATATAACCAAGAGTGGGGGCTGGCGAGTAGCGCGGTGGAGAAGGTGCTGGATTCCCACATGGCTGACCACAGCACAAGGCCCAGACCTAGAGACTTGCTTTCTTGCTTTCCCTCTCTGTCCCTCTCTGGTGAGCACACATGCCCTATAGCAAATTTAAAAACAGTAACTAATAAAATAAGTGGCTTTTTTTTTTTTTGAAAAATAAATAACCAAGAGTTAAGAAATGATATCATAAAAGAGAATTTCATTTAATGAGAGCCGTATAGGGATCAGTAGGTGGTGTGGGGTTAAGACAGTGGATCCCACGTGGCCAACTGCACGGTTAGAGTCACAGACCCAGTGGCATAAAAATCACACCAGGCACACGTAAGTGCAAGCCTGTCCAAAGTCCCACGAGAAGAACGGAGAAGGAGTTACAGTGACCATCCCCCTGAAGGGTGGTTTCCCGCCTTCTCTGTCTCTGGCAAGCATATGCATCTTATAGCAAAAGAGAAAAAAAGAAAAAGAAAATCCTGACTGCAGGGGCCAGCCTGGGCACGACGTTAAGGTGGCATTTCCCACAGGGCCAACTGCAGTTCGCGCCCTAGACCTGGTGGCTTGAGAATTCAGGCCTGCACGTGCCCAAAACCCTGAGAGGAGTGTGGGGAAGGGACTGCAGCGTGACCACCCTGGGCAACCTTTGGTGAGCACGCCCGAAGGCCAGCACAGTAAAATCCTGACTGTGATCTCTGTCTACGGGCACACTGAGGCTCGGAGAGAACGGGCCTGGCCGGCAGCCTTGGAGCGGGGCAGCTCCAGGGCCCCTGTGGGCACTCCTGCTGGGTGCAGGGCCCTGCCTGGACACAGGCCTGCATTCCAACCCCCTCCTGACCACAGCCCCGGAGGCTGGTGCTGCCCATGCTGCTGGGGAGGACATACCGCTGAACCCCGGGGTCAGCTCCGCCAGACGCTGGGAGTAAAAGCTGCCAGCCTGGGTCAGCTTCAGGCTCTTCAGGTGCTGCTCAAAGATCTCTCGCCGCTCCTATCAGAAACAGAGGAGGACACATAGCCAGCTGGCCCACCCTGGCTAGCCCACAGCAGCACCTAGATCAGAGGATAGGAGCAGGCCACCCCGGCTGACCCGGGGCAGTGTCCAGTCTGCAGGAAGCTGGGGCCCCGTGTATCCCCTCCTAGGAAACCCACTGGAGGCTTGCAGGAGCACTGTGTTCCACCTGCCTCCTTTACTGTCAGCACGGCTCACAAACTGGGAGATGACGTAGAGGACGGCAGCATTTTCACCAGGAAGGGGGCGCAGGGGTCAGGGGGCTGGGTCCCACGTGGCTGACTGCATGGTTGAGTCCTGGGTCCAGTGGTTTGGAAAAAACATGCGGGGGTGGAGGCGGGCAGCAGATGGCATAGTGGTTATGTTGCTGGACTCCCACATGACTATGGTTCGAGTCCTGGACCCGGCATTGAAAGACACACTGGGTGTGCGTGTGTGACTGCGGCGCCCCGCGGGCAGGCGGCTTCTCATTTAGCCTCTCGTCTCTGTCTCTCTCTCTCTCCCCAGCACGTGCAATGCACCCTAATGCAAAACCTCTAAACCAATAAAAGAAAAATCATGCTGGGCATACGTGCACGTGTGCCCAGAACGCCAAGAGGAGAAAGGGGGAGAAGGGGCTGCGGCACGGCCGGCCCCCATGGCGGCTTTCTCCCCTCCCATGAGGAACAAGGGGAGGGAAAGGGAAGGAAGCAATGGGAGCAGAAGAGAGTGAAGACACCACAGCCAGGGCTGCTTGCAAAGCCTGACTCCACACACGGCACCTCCAGACCCTGCGCCGTCACTGGGCGGCCTCTCCCCAGCAACGCTGTCGGGGGGCTGGGTGGGGGAGAAAACCCCGATGTGGGCTGGGCCCGACCTGCCGCCCTGCCAGGCTGGCTCTGCAAGCACCCAGCACACAGCGGCACCTGGTCCCAGGCTGCAGCGCAGGCCTTGACCAGAGGCCTGAGCTGGCTGACGCGATCAGGCAAGAGGCCCAGAGACACTAGGACTTCCACCCGGACTCCCACATGACTATGGTTCGAGTCCTGGACCCGGCATTGAAAGACACACTGGGTGTGCGTGTGTGACTGCGGCGCCCCGCGGGCAGGCGTCTTCTCATTTAGCCTCTCGTCTCTGTCTCTCTCTCTCTCCCCAGCACGTGCAATGCACCCTAATGCAAAACCTCTAAACCAATAAAAGAAAAATCATGCTGGGCATACGTGCACGTGTGCCCAGAACGCCAAGAGGAGAAAGGGGGAGAAGGGGCTGCGGCACGGCCGGCCCCCATGGCGGCTTTCTCCCCTCCCATGAGGAACAAGGGGAGGGAAAGGGAAGGAAGCAATGGGAGCAGAAGAGAGTGAAGACACCACAGCCAGGGCTGCTTGCAAAGCCTGACTCCACACACGGCACCTCCAGACCCTGCGCCGTCACTGGGCGGCCTCTCCCCAGCAACGCTGTCGGGGGGCTGGGTGGGGGAGAAAACCCCGATGTGGGCTGGGCCCGACCTGCCGCCCTGCCAGGCTGGCTCTGCAAGCACCCAGCACACAGCGGCACCTGGTCCCAGGCTGCAGCGCAGGCCTTGACCAGAGGCCTGAGCTGGCTGACGCGATCAGGCAAGAGGCCCAGAGACACTAGGACTTCCACCCGCCACGTTGGAGCAGCTGTGCCAGCACGTGGCCAAAGCTGGCTGCTTAAGAGCTGGGATGAAGAGCCTGAGGTGTTCCATGGAGGAAGGTGCCCAGAGAAATGGGAGTCCTCCTTTCCTTCGCTGGACTTGGGTCAGAGGACACGCTGTGAAGCCCAGCTCTGGCCAGTACTCTGCACCCACCACACGCAGGATGGAGACACCGCAGGGGTGGACAAGATCAAGCAGCAGAGCAGATGGAGCGTGGGCCTGTGTCAGGAAGCCGGGCCCCACAGGGCTGGCCCCGCAGCCTGAAAACGTGCTGGGTGGGGTCAGCAGGTGTGAGGTATGGTGGTTAGAGTGCTGGACTCCCACATGACCGACCACAGTTCAAGTCTCGGACCTGGCAGCTTGCTCTCTTATCTCTCTCCTTCTCTCATCAAATTGAATAACAACAACAAATAAAATTTTAAAAAAGAAAGCCTCATGCTGGGCGAATGTGCATGCATGCCCAAAATCCTGAGTGGAGAACGGAGAAGGAGGTGCAGCATGGCCATCCCTCAGGGGATGATTTCTCACTTTCTGGCTCTCTATCTCTCCATCTCTCTCTATCTCTCCAGCGAGTGCATTCGTCCTATAGCAAGAAAAAAAAATTTCTAAAAAGAATTAAATAAAAATTTAAAAAGCAATAAAAAATGCTGGGGCACACGTATGCCCAGATGCGGCAGGGTGGACGTGGAGGAGGCGTGCAGGCACGGCCATGTCCACGGGCTTTCTCCCTCGCCTGAGTGCACGCACTGCCCTGGCCTTAGAGACAGGAGCGGCAGAGGAGGCGGCAGTGGGCCA